TAAACGTTTGGGCTGTTCGATGCACAACACTGAAGACATTCAGATATGCTGTCCGAAGCAAATCCAAAATAACAGGGATATTGTATCAGAAATTATTGTTTTGGTGAAAGATGCCCATTAAATAAACTACAATCCAAAAATCACTCTCTGAGGTCTTCATTCTGCTCTCACTAACCGAGGTGTAAATCAGGATTAAGTCTACTGAAGTCAGAGTTATTCTTGTGAAAAGTTACTGTAAATAAGAGGAGATTTAGGATCAGAGTGCATTAAGACTGAACAATCCACCTCTACTCAGCAAAACAGTTAAAGCACGTGCTTAAGTTTCAATGGTTTCAGTTTTCAGAGTGGTAGCCATATTAGTCTGTATCAGCAAAAACAACGAGGAGTACTTGTGGCCCCTTAGAGACTAACAAATTTATTTGGGCATAAGCTTTCGTGGGCTAGAACTCCTCATTGTTTTTTTTAATGGTTTCAGTGAGACTTAAGCACATAAATGTTTTGCTGAATTGGAGCCCAACAGCTGATCCAAAGCCTACTGAAGTCAACAAAAAGGCTCTCCATTAACCTCAGCTGGCTTTGGATCAGGTCCTAAATTAGGCAACATTTTCTCATACACGCACCTGGACATACTTTACCACCTTTTCATGTTCCAAGTTACTTAAAAAATATTTTTAAAGATATGAGATAGTTGTTTATTTACATAATTATTGTTTCTTGAACACAGATGCAAAACAGTTATATTAAAAAGATGAACAGCTGCTACCATATGCTGTTTAAATGGCCACAAAAAGCATCTAAGGGGCCATAAAGGGAATAGTAAGGGAATTAAAAACAATTTTTATTCATGCAGATGGCCTAGCATACGTACATTCATTAAGCTGGTATCAACCATGCTTTAATTAAAAGTTAGTTATGGAAACTTAAATATGATTAATGCAAATTAACATCCTAACAGGAGTCTGCTCTATCTATCAAAGGTAAGACACGTAACAAGCCACATTTTTAACCCCTAAGCCTCAGTCATTTGCTCACATCTCTCTCTCTCTTTGAGATGCTAGAATGATCAGAATACATTAACAGTATTGTAAAGAAGCATTGCAACGTAGAACTGCAAGAGAGGACTGGTCTGTGGCCATTCTTCTGTCATGCGTAGCTATTCTTCACTTTGTATTTCATGCTAAGGATTTTCAGCCATCAAGCAACTCGGGGACAAGCCCATGAACTGGTCAAGCATTAAAATAACCAGCCGTACAAAGATCAATTGAACATATCAGGCATGAAGTCTGTGAAAGGAAAGAACGGTGCACTCCCAACAGCCTACTATTCAAGAGTGGAAAAATCACTTAGAAGCTAGTGTTGTGTTTTGTAACATAATCAATCTTTTTCTATTACTCAGGGGCACAAAACAGACATGGTAGAAACAAACATGATAAAAATATTCCAGAGGATCAAGGATCGGGGGCAGAAACGGGGGTTATCAAGCAATAAAGGGAGAGGGAATTTTATGAGTCCACATTATTCAAATATGAAATCAAGTCAGTGCATACTAATTACTAACCCCTGTGCTTACAAAGACTGCACAGTCCCACTGACTTTAATGGGACTACTCACATACTTGGAGTTGAGCACATGCATCAATTTACATTTTATTGCACTGTACTGCAAAACCAAGACACTTGGAATGGAATCTGCAGAGTTGGAATCAGTGATGCCAAAGCAGAATGAAATAAAATCAGCCCATCTTCAGGAGGCAGCATGGGCCTCTGGAGAGGGCACTGAACTAGGAGACCAGAGACTGGGGTTCTATTCCCAGTCCTGCCATGGATGTGTGGCACAATCTTGAGCAAGTCAGCTGTGCTCTGTTTCTCTAACTATGAATAGTAATACCTTAGCCTCCTTTGTGAGCTATGGATAAACAGCACTCTATAAAGCATCATTATTGATGCTGCCAGACCATACCAGTGCAGTGCCATGGGCTCTCCATGGGGAGCATATACACACACAGCTCCAGAACCCAGACCAAAAGCTCTCTAGGCTGTCAGGGAATACTGCAAATTCAGTCCTCATAATCCTTGCAGGTGGATGGAGGAGCAGCCAGCATGTCTCTTTAGGGCCCCTTTGCAAAGAGTAGCATGGAGGTGCTTTCCCCTCCCTCCAAGCAGATGCTCCAACACCCGAATAACCAGAGAATCAGGGTACGTCTACACTTACTGGAGGGTCCGGCGGCAGGCAATTGATGTTCTGGGATCGATTTATCGCGTCTAGTGAAGACGCGATAAAATCGATCCCTGATCGCTCTGCCGTCGACTCCGGAAATCCACCGCGGCAAGAGGCGGCAGCGGAGTCGACGGCGGCACGGCAGCGGTCAACTTGCCGCCGTCCTCACAGCCAGGTATGTCGACCTAAAATACGCCACTTCAGCTACGCTATTCATGTAGCTGAAGTTGCGTATCTTAGGTCGACCCCCCGCTGTAGTGTAGACCTAGCCTCAGATCCCTGAAAGGGGAAGTCCCTTCCACCTCTCTTCCCAGAGGAGAAAGCCAAGTCAGATTGCAGAGGGAATGGCTTGGGACAAAGCTGCTTAAATTGCAGCAAGGGAGATTTAGGTTACATATTAGGAAAAACTTCCTAACTGTCAGGGTAGTTAAGCACTGGAACAAATTACTTATGGAGGTTATGGATTCTTTTGTCATTGGAGATTTTTAAGGTTAGACAAACACTTGTCAGGAATGTCTAGATAATAATTAGTTCTCCCTCAGTGCTGAGGACTGGACAAGACCAACTGAGGTCCCTTCCAGTCCAACATTTCTATTATTCTATCTGGTGACTCTTCTACAGATTACATCAGCAGTTCTCAAACTGTGGGTCGGGACCCCAAAGAGGGTCATGACCCCATTTTAATGAGGTTGCCAGGGCTGGCATTAGACTTATTGGGGCCCGGAGACGGGATTGAAGCCCGAGCCCCATCACCTGGGGACAAAGCTGAAGACCGAGCTCCACCACCCAGGGCCAAAGCCAAAGCCCAAGGGCTTCAGCCTGGGCTGGCGGGGCTCAGATTACAGGCCTCCCAACTGGGGCTGAAGCCGATGGGTTTTGGCCTCTGCACCAGGGACAGCGGGGCCTGGGCGGGCTCAGGCTTCAGTTCCTCCTCCTGGGATCATGTAGCACTTTTTGTTGTCAGAAGGGGGTTGCGGTGCAATGAAGTTTGAGAACCCCTGGATTATGTGAACCCAGCTGGTGGTCACAGCTCCATTTCAATTTGAAAAGTGCCCTTGTCCTGAAAGTCAGCCCACTAGCTGGGGACCTTCAGCAGAGAGATTAGAATTGAAATGGGATTGAGACAGATTTGCCCTTCCATCCCTAGAAGTGATCCAGCCAAGTCAGTGTTGACAAGTGTCACAGGGCAGCTTGAGGGAAGCTTGTGCTGCCACAGTCTGTGCTGTACCTGCTCTGGGGATGTGCAGAGTGAAGTCTCCAGGGATGCAAATCTGACACCTTTGGTAGGGCTAAATTCACTTACAAAAAAATCCAAACCAAATCAAAAACCTAACCTTCAAGTCATGAGTTTAAGATTATGGTCAAAGGTAAATAAATCACATGCTTATAATAAATTTTAGCATTAAAATTATATGACCCTTAAAGTCTAGCAGGGTGGTATCCCTGAAGCCCAGCAATATTTCATACACATCAAGTACATGAACTACCTAAAATGTTCCATCTGCTGGTTTGAAACAAGAGACAGGTACACCTGCTACCTCATATTTTCAAACACAAACATCTCCTCAGACATTATATTCAAATTACAGCCTAAAATTAAGAGGAAAACCACTCTGCACAAGTAGCCAGCAAACAAGAAAAAGCCACATTTTAAGATATTTATGGGTTATTTAACTAGCTCATGAGCAGTTCATCTTTTCTGTAAAACCGCATTGTTATTGCTGCAGCTCTTAGATTTGTTGTAATATAATGAAAATAGTCTGTCTTTCCTACCATGCCACCTCATTTACATAGGAAACTTTTTGCTAGCAAAACACCCTGTTTGCCACAGGGCGGGTTAAAACACAGAAGAGTTCTAGCAATACTTAGTTGGAAACAGCAAGTGACTTGTATTATTCTTCCAGCCTGCTCTCACTGTGCATTACCAGCCCTGTGTTGCTAACTATAGCACCAGAAGAAATCCACGTGAGAAAGCCTGTCAGTGCAAACAACAAAACAATGTTGTCTCTAGGATAGACGTGTCCATGCCTCAAGTACATTTAGAAGAAAAACAACCCCCTCCAATCTCTCTGAGAGGTTTCTTTGTAGTAATAACAAACACGAGACTGGATCTGCGGGCACAGAAGTGACCATTAATGCATGAGTCTGTGCAGCAGCTCGAAGAGGTTGTTTCTTAGCAACCCAGGGAGCAGGGAGCTTTCCCATCCACAATTCGGTCGTGCTAATAAAACAGACCTGACCGGCTTGAGAAAAAAAAAGGGGGGGGGGCATTTTAAAATGGATCTCCCTCCGTCCCCCGAAACAGCTGGTGAAAGGTGAAACTCGTTCCCTGCAGGGACCCACACTCTCGCCCACGTAACTGAGCCGAAGGGGAGGACACTCATCCCGCCCCACTCCCGGGTCAATGGGGTTTGGAGCCCGGAGGAGACAGATGTTATTTCCCCTGGGAGCGATGCCCAGCCGGGGGCCTGTCTAGCCACCTGCTGCCCCCTGCACTATCCCGCCGCTGTCCAGGCTGGGGGCTGAGCCCACAGCCCCTGGGGACCCGCCCGGGTCCCAGCCCAGAGCCTGCGCCACACGCCCCTCCAGCCACCACAGCCAGGCCGGCTCCCGCGCTGGCGGGCGCCCCCTCAGAACAGCCGCCCCCTCAGAACAGCCGCGTCGCCACGGGGCCGGCCGCCCCCTCCGGCCCCAGCGGCCTAGGCGCCCCCCTCCCGCCGGGACCAGGGGCCCCCGCGCGCAGCAGCGCCTGCCCCGGGAGGCGGCTCCTTCCCCCCACGCACCGGCTGCGGCCCCAGCGCTCGCTCGGCGGCGGCTGCTGCTCTCCCCGGCTACCAGGAGCGGGCTGCCGACCTGCCCGCTTCCCTCTCGCATAATCCCCGGCCAGGGCGGGCAGGGCAGCGGGGCTCCGCGGTGCCGCTGGCCAGGGGGGAGCTGCCGCTGCAATCCCCGGGCTCCCGGCGCGGCTGGGCGGCTGCCTGGCCGGTCTCTTGCCGCGGCGGTGGCGGGAGGAGGGGCGCCCCGGCTCTCCCTCTGCCCCTCGGCAGCGACACGGACCCGGCTGGCAGCCTCCTCTCCCGGCGCGAGCCTGGCCCACTGCTGCAGAGCGCGGCCACTTCCTTCCCCGGCTCGCAGGCATTCCCTCACTCTCGGCACCGGGAGCACCCGGGGACAGCCAGGCGGGGTGCGCCCCCCTCCGGCCGCGGCGGGGTACAACAGCTCCTGCCGGGCAGGGGCCACCTGGGAGCGGCACCCCCGGGCTCTGAGCTGCTGAGGGGGGCAGGGGCTTGGGTGAGGCTGGCGAGAAAACCCCAGCACCGGCTCACGGGTGCTGTACAGAGGTGGGGCGAGAGGCCGGGAAATCTCCCCCTTCCAAACTAGCTGTTCCCTGGGGCTAAACTCGAGAACGTTCCGGGCCCCAGCCACAGGGGATGAAGGCAGGTGCAACGGTCTAGGGTTAGCCTAAGGAATAATAATACACTTAGATTGCACTCTTCAGGGCTAGATCTCTACCTGCGTTACAAAGCGAGGGAAGTCAGCATCTTTAGCCCCATTTCTCAGATGCAAAACTGAGGTATCAAGAAGTCAACTGACTTCCCCCATGGGGCACAGTGAGTTAATGGCAGAGTCTGGAATGGATCCTACCTCTCCTAACTCTCAGATCCATAAACGGAAGTTTGTCTTGCAGAGTGTACACACAATAGCCCCGTTTCTTATGGCACATCTGTACAGGGAGCACCTCATGCTAATAATGCCAGTGCGTTCGGGGATTTAGGAAACACCTTTACCATAGTGCTATTGCTATGGTCATTGCTGGGATCAATGGCTTTAGGGCCATAGCCCAATGCAAGGCAGAGTGCATTGAGGGCTGGATGTAGGGAAAGCATCTGCCAGGCTTGGGCCTTCCCATCCACACTGAAAAGAAACCAGGTCAGCTGGATTTAAGTGAAAGACCTCAGCTCATGCATTGCAACCCCCACCTAGCACAACAAATATTGGTAAAACTCCTCAGATAACTGCTGGGTGTGGGTGCAAGGCACCAGTCATCGTCACAAGCTCAAAATATGAAGATAGGGCTTCACTAAGCCCTATGTCTCAAAATGTTCATTCACTTCTTAGGCCAGGAAAGATCCCCCATTACCCCTTGATAGATATAATGCAACATGTTAATTACTTGAGTCTCCATCTAGGAGACCTGTGTGTGGCTTTTCTAGAATTTCACAAATCAATGTTTTAAGGCTGGTTTGACGATGCTTGCCTATATCATCTGCATGCTAATTTTCATCCCATGATAATGGGGCTTAAAATTAACAAGCAACTGATAAGCTGCATCCTATAAGCTCTCCTTTACTGATTTTTCTTTCACATTACCTTTACATCACATGCCAGGGTTGGAACTTAATGGCCAGAATTAGGAAGCCTAACATTTTCATTTAATTTGACCTCCCACCAGACCCGCTCTCCTTTAAATTCTCAGCACCTCAGCCCTGTTACAATTTCAACACAGTGATTGATTCTGAGATACAGAGCAAGACTAGAGCAGCACTGACTACTCTTACATCTTTGCTCACTAACAAGATTGGATAAAAGCAAAAAAAAACAGTGATCTATAGTGGTTTGAAGCTTGAGAAGTAACCAGATTCCTTACATATTTTAAAAATAATGACAGTTATTGGGTATTTAAAATATATCATGTGAGTACTTCTATCACACAACTATACAACACTGTCAACCAATTTGCAGAGCTCAGAGACACACATTGAATTACATATAAAGTCATTAGCCTTATCCACATAATTGCACTATCAACACACTGAACTTTCTTCTTTATTTGCAGCATGTTCAGGATCTTTGTTCGCACCGTCAAAGCCTTACATATATCTCACCACTGCCCTCTTATCCTCCAATTTTCATTCCCTATTAACATTCCTATCCTCTCTCCTTACTGCTCCTTTCAGCTTTTCCACTAAATTCCCAAAATTGACCTCCTACCCACATGTAGTCCCAATTCTTGTCCAGTGCCCTTCATCTCCTCCTTAAAACCCATTCCTCCAAACCTCGCCTCCAATGAGCTCATCTGCTGCTTTATGCCCCAACTCTTGTTTCTCTGTTAGATTATAAATACTTTAAAGCAGGGACCTTGTCTCTTTATTTGCTTTGCAAAGTTCCTGTCCACAGTTACACTATACACTGCTATATAAATAACTGAAACCAGCTAAGTGCAACATACTTAAGGAAGTACTACTGAAATAACAAAACTCCTCATCTGAGGGTCAGGAGATGAGATAGACAACAATTTTATACAACTCCGGACCTGTTGCTTTTGTTTTAAATTTTTTTTCCCCATTTATTTTTCAGCACATCTCAGTGATTTAGTTCATAGAATAATCTTCCTTAACTATACGTATCAGAGCAGGGATGTTGGTCAGTCAGTTGGTCTGGAGATAACTTAACTGATCTGCCTCTCTCTTCACTTTACCATAATGCTGTAATTTGGGCAACAAATTAAAGCAGGATCCAGCAATGGAAGAGATTTACACCGCAGAGCTGTCTACGAGAAAACTCACAGAAAAGACTGACACACACAAAAGTGGTGATTCCTAGTTAATTTCCTATCCTCCGATGCATAGAAGTGCCATAGGAATTGGGAGGAATTGCAAAGGGAAAAGGGCATACTTGGAAAGAGCATAAATATGTTCGAGCCTGTTCAAAATATAATTTGGCCCTCAGCACAGAATGAGATTTAAATCTGTGTTAAAGGAAAGCCATTTTAAAATTGTACATTTAAAAATCTAATTTAAAGGAACACCATTCAGAAATGTCAGCTGCAATAACAGATAGTTTCAAAAGCAGCCACTGATTTTGGGTGCGCCTATTTCTTGGTTCCCAGCTTAAGACACCGTTGGCCTGATTTTCAGAAGTGCTCAACATCTAGATTTCCCACTGACTTAATTTGGAGATGCAGGTTCTCAGCACTTCTGAAAATCAGGTATGAGGTGTCTTAAGTAGGGCACCCAAAATCAGTGATATTTTGAAAATGTTGGACCAACACCTAGTTTTTCTCAGCAGTATGAGAACACAAACAGAAATAGCTCAGAAAGCCTGAGCTAATGGGAGGTTACTTTCAGACAGAAATTATATAAACTCACTTTAATGATTCTTCTTTCCGGATGTCAACAAATGACCGTAATAAAAAGGGAATGGCACCAAAGAGGGTAGGATGGAGGTAAATTTAGGTCTAAAATGAAGGGTAGTGGAGCGATAATGGAATAGCTGAAATTGGAAACCAGTAGCTATATCAATTATCCAAGGAAAATTGGTTCTTCTGATAACGGAGGGAAGAGAACAGATTTGTAAACAAGAGAAAGCACTTAAGACAATGTGAAGACTGAAGCCCTGTTTTAATTCCCAAGCGTAAACTTATCCAGTAATGGACTGCTTGCGAGAAACCCTCCAGGCTGAATTATACATTTGAAGGCATTAAAGCAAGCACCCTATGATAATTCAAAATCGTTGCAACACCATTCCTTGTGAGTGGCATTGCAGCTGGTTGGAGGCTGAGATTCTTATTCTCTTTAGGTATTTTGAATCCAATCTACAAATCAGAATATAAAATCCCCAGAAGACTAGTCTTAGTCTATGTTAAATCAGAGGGAGAATATTCCACCACCTGAGCTCCCCCTCACTGACATATTCAGTCCCCCTTCTAATCTTCCATTGGAAACGTTAAGGCTGCAGTGTGTGTGTGTGTGATGACAGAATTTGAAACAGATGATATGGTTAAAACCTAGATTATCACTGGGTAATATCCCTAAACCTAGTATTATTCTTGGGCAGCAGGAAATAATCTAATTAAATGTTTAATATTAAAATACAAAACTGAAATATTAGGTGTACACCTTTGTAATTCAGTAATGTCCCACCTAAGAAATACATATTATCCACCACAACAAAATTTGTAAGTGTAAAAGGCTGATTTTATTTTTTAATGTGTGATGGGTGGGTCATGGCAAGACAATAAGTGGACAACCTGCGTCAGTGACTGGATCCCCAGAGACCACAAGCAACCGCCAGGCAGACTGAAAATGCGCTGGGCCGATCCCATGACAAAACTCTTTGGCCAGAAATGAAAAGAATGAGCTTGCAACAAAAAGGAATGGTGTGGCGTCAACTTGCGTTCGTGGAGGGATGGACGAGGACAAGCCCCGACAAAGGCAACAAAGGTGAACATAACTGTGATTGGAATGGGGACAGCATGATGTTTTTTTAATATGCCAGACGCTAACCAACAACTGTGGTTAGGTTTTCCAGGTCTTGGAGTGTCATGGGGAGACGGGATGTGTGCTAGCACTCACTGTGATCAGAACTTTACAAACTAGAGCTGTTGAGAAATAGCAAAACAATGCTAGAAATGATCTGCTAACATAGGCCAATGGCAATCAAGCAAGCAAAAAACATCACAATCTACAGTCATCCAGACATAATGCAAGTATTGCTTCTAGTTGCTAAAACGGTATAAAGAAAGCACTCGTTACAAAACTACTGAAGCAAAATCTCAGACTGGAATGATAAATTATATATAAACCCCTAAAAGCCAAAGTGAAACAGAACTCAACCCTCTTTCACTCATATACAATGTACTTCCTGAAGCATAGTACAGAATGCATTTCTGTGTCAAGTATTATTTTCCAAGAGTCATTATACATCCCTTCATTGTGTGCAATTCTCCTTTGTGTGTGTGTGAAGGAGATAATCAGAAGTGAATTTTATCAAGACAAAGTAGAAACATTAAGTACCCAGTTACTATAGCAAACTATTTCCTCAAGGGAAGATACCTGTGGAGATTTTTTGAGTGATTACATTGATCATTACGTTTAATTACTCCTAATGATTACAAATAGAGAGAATAGAGAACAAGAACTACTCTCGCAAAAGGCTAAGAGAGGGAAAATATATGGAACTCAAGTGTCTAGGGCTTGCGCAAAGAGTGTGGCCTTTATCTCAGACTGTGAGGGGCATGAAAAAGATTTCCATACATAGAAGGCCCTCTACCACTGCTGCCACGCATGTAGTTCTGTAGTGCTCTGCATCTTCAACACTCAACCTT